CGACCGTCCCTACCCCTGGTGCTGCAAGTGCAGAGACTACGGTCCCATCTGCATAGTTGTGGGGCTTAACATCTCCCCTTGGTGGGTTAGGCTGCCGCTGGAGAGAGGGTGTAACAAGCTCCTCTCTCTGAACTGTAGACTGCCGCTGGGGAGAGGGGGTAACCTGCTCCTCTCCCTGACACTCTCTTTGCTGGTGGAGAGGGGGACCAACTGTCTCCCCTTTCAATATTTTGTCCTGCGGCTGGGGTGAAAGACAGACTGTCTCCGCTTCCTGCAGGACACACTGCCGCTGGGGAGGAAGGACTGCACCTTCCGTTCCCTGGGAAAAAGACTGCCGCTGGGGAGGAAGGACAGCACCTTTGGCTCCCTGGAACTCACACTGTTGCTGGGGAGGAAGGATAGCACCTTCGGCTCCCTGGAACTCACACTGCCGCTGGGGAGGAAGGACAGCACCTTCAGCTCCCTGTGATACATACTGCCACTGGAGATCTGGGCCGACCGCCCAGCATCCCTGTAGGGCCGGTAGAGAGACCGCCATCCCATCTCCACCTGCCATTTGTGGGTCTTCCCAGGACCAGTCTATGAGGTCCCCTACTTCTGCAGCTGGTAGTGAAGCAGGGGGTACCTCGGCTGCGTTTTCCCAGCTGTAGGTTGGCAGGTCTGGGTCCCCCAGCCAGTTTTCCTGTTCTGTGTCCATGCCCTGTGGCTGACATGAGTTTAGTAGTTCCACATAGTCCATCTCTAGCTGTCGTTCCATGGCAGCCAAACGGTGGAGGTCTTGTCCCAGTCCCATAGATCTCGGGCCCTGTACCATCTCACCTCGGTAATAAAAGATAGCCCAGTACCGTGACTCTGCTGGACTGCCAAAGTCGACGTCTTCTACTAAGGCCTTCCACAACAGGCCAGGGCTAGTGTAGTTCTCCCCCTCCGGCTGGATGCCCTCTGCCCTCCACGTCTCTGGTTGGACAGTGCACCACCACAGTGCCCGGTATGAGGCGTCAAGGCTCAGTTCCCTTTCCACGAGGTACTCAAGTTGTCTGACCTGCTGCCCTCCGGGTTGGTCTCCCAGAAGCGGCATCCGCCAGGCCATTTGTTCCTCCAACCGGTATGCGACACCAGGAAGGCGCTGCTGCCGTTGATACTGGACTTCCTCCAGGGCATCGTACCATAGTTCTTGCCGGGCAATATCTCTCCATTCCAATTCACTCTCTTCCTCAGGTGTGCGTGTTGCCCAAGGATCCACGAACCCCATTTTCCCAAATCTTTATGTAGACAGGGACGCTGTATAAACACTAGCGTCGCCTTCAATTTGTAAATCCAAACGAACTGTGTCTCTGAGCTGCTTTACCTCGCACTAGGACGCCATCCCACCGCTGCCACCAATGTAACGGATCGCCTGGCACCCCGACTGGGTACCTCCGTTGAAGGATGCTCCTAGCGCTTCCTGAGGACTCCAAGCACTGCAGCAGACACCACAACCACCGAACCGGAGAAGCATATGAATCCTCTCAAGCATATGAATGCTGTAGACAGTTGAATAGGAACCATACGAATAGGTTTACTCTCCTAGCAGTCAAACTGGAACAGCATACAATAAATCCTTCCCCCAATAATGAGACGACACTTCACTTTGAGGGTTAAAACAGGAACTCAGGTGCTGGCACACCCAGCCTGGTTTTTATTACAGTCTTGCAAATACAGGACCGCCCACAGGGAGGTATAAAACAACCAATCACATCACAGTTACATCCCACATATTCCCTCCCCTTATCCTGAGAGGAAACTCAATTATACATACAGTTAAAACATACTTTCTACCCAACTTTCATAACTCCAAAACCATACATCACATTCACATAAAATTACATATTCACAATCAAACCATTCAGGGGAACAACATATTCAAAAATGGCACAAATCAGACAAGGGGTTCAAAAGTTAGTAAAAAGTCTTTTGTGACTAAATGAAGCATGGCTTTCTGGCCCAAACCAGTTTCAGAGTCTTCTATCCTGGAGAGTAATTCAATTATCTCCCAAGACAGACACAAGACTCCATTAAGCACATGGTTGCAAAAAGACACAAAACACTTTAAAATACATAAAGTCACCTTTTACACATAACACACAGACATTTCACATATCCCCAGATAGCTGGGATCTGAGCGCACAAAACTACCGAATAGCACTCAGATCCTATTCACACAGTTCAATTGCCATGGAGCCAAAGTCTTTAACTACACGAATGGGCTCCATGGCATAGCTATCTGGGTTAACACATTCACATAAAGTCTGGTCCATAGTCCAAAGGCAAGAGGCGGGCAAGCAGCCCCCTCCAAGGACACGTGGCGAGGCCGGTTTCGCCACACCTGTGGTTTAGGCATTATTACTAAACATAATGCTCCTTTAGAAAGGTGAAATTGTCTGGAACATTGCATCAAACCTGTAACTCTGCGATGCTGCTGCTGTTGGTGCCATATCCATGCAGGTGTAATTTGTAAAAGTGCAGAACTCAGAACTTTTCATTGGTTTACATGGTGATTGCCTCACTTTTGAAATGTTTCCTCACTTTTCTGTTTAAGACCCTTGTTTTTTTAAGGCCTGGCACCTCTCTCCCTGTTTATTGGAACCCGGGATCGCCCTGTGCGTCAGTGAGCGGAGACTGCATGTTTATACAAGAATCCTCGTGTTTTGAAACGTTAAAGACCCGGGGTTACTGCCTTCCTGCACAATGCATCTCACACTAAACAAGCAAAAATATTAGTGTAGTATATATGCGAATATGTCTTTAATTGACTTTTAACCCTTTGACTTTAAGATGATCGTAGCTCCTCTCAGAACTTCTAAACCGCCATTAAAAAGCAGTTCATTCTTGGCTGTTTGGAATGCCACTTGCTATTACTATTCATTACAGTCTGATTTTATTCTGGAGAAATTACGGTTCGAAGCCGCAATGTTTTGTCTACAAACCCTATAATAATTCTCAGTTTATACATAGTGTTTGAGGAATTATACAAACTACTTGTGCTTGATGAAAAATATTTGGTATTATTTACTAAGATTTGTATTTTAGGAACATCTAATTCATGCTAACTCATGGCGATTCCCTAAATTTACAAACATGTAATTTGCACATACTCACCTCAATTTGTACAAGTAGTGTGAGCTTTCCAGAAAATGCTGGGGAGGGGGGATTAACACCTCCTGCCCTGCAGTGAGAATTAAATAGCACTCCCATAACACCCCATGTCAGCACATTATAGGATTAACTTGGTAAAATCGATGCTTAAAATCTAGTGAAATCACTAGATTTTCTCTTTATTGTCTGTTTCGAAATTTATTATATCCTATAGAAATCTATGGTTTGGAGTGAATGAGCACATGCCCTGTAAATATCACTAGAAGCCCCACCACACTGCTGGGATGGAACCACGTGCAACTAACTGGCCACAGCTGGGCAGTTGGTGGCGGTTCAAGGTGGAACAAGAGATAGGTCGTCCCCCCCATGTTCTTAATTAATTAATACCCCATCCCACTGTTTAGAAATGATGACCCCATCTGTAACATGCCGAATGGTAGTAACCCGAAGTCTGAAATTGGTATGTTTCTGGACTGACTGAAATCCAGCGGACATTCATGTAATGCCAAAATCTGGGCAATGATCAATACAATGGTACGTTTTGGTATGTGAATACACCCAGATGGTCCCAAATTACATTTGCTTATCGGGATTGGGGGAATTTGGATTTAATTGAATTACCCTGTACGTAGTAAGTCTCTCATTTAAACAAATATTATTATGTTCTGCTGTGAGCAACAGGTCCCAAACAAGGGAAATATAAAGCTGGTAGAGGATATATCCCATGTCATATAACGGGCCCAGGCTTCTAACAAAAAATACTTTCTTTCTACTCTGAAACAAGCTGAAGGTTAAAGATGAATTCTCTCAGCCACCACACTACCGTACTTACGGCAGAGAAAATAAACATTTTATGGCTGAAGGATGGCCACCTAAGAAGGCAGTAGGGGGCCATTTTTAAAGTAGGCCAGTTTGTATGGTGGAAACCATAATGCAAAGGGGAAGAAAATAGTATATAGAGGTGGGAAATAATGTGGAAGAGAGGATGGGAAGAGAAGCAGAAACCAGGAAACAAAGTAAAAGCAGGTTCAGGGGAATAAAACGAATATACACAGAGCAGAGGATGTTGTTGGAGGAAGGAAGCACAGACCTGAGTTGAAGGATAAGGAAGACACAGGTTATGAAGGAGAAGAGGCCCATGGGAAGAGGCCTTGGCTGAGGATGGAGATACGGGGACCAGGAGACAAGGTGAGGACAACAATAAGATAGAGAATGGAGTAAGCATGGGACAGGTGTAAGGAGAGAGCGAGCATGTGGGACCTTGAGGAGAGAAGTCGGGGAAACCAGCAAACAGAAAGCCACGCGGAAAGGACTAGGTTAGCAAAAAGGAGAAGAATAAAAAATTGCAGAGAGAGAGGCATGCTTGGAGAGTTGTGATAACGTGGAATTTCCTGGATACAGGTGAATAAATATTAAACAAGGAGGAAAAGAGGGCGTAGTTTAGACAGGTGTGGAAGGGGCTTGATGAGGGTGCACACAATGATTCCAGATTAAGACACCTTTAGATGAAAGATGTGGGATAAGAGAACACGTGAAACAGAAAATAATAGACCACCTTCACCCCAAAATATTTTTTCATCCTATAATCATATTATAAACTATTGAAAGGAGATAAATATATATTTTATGAAATATATGTTATAAAATGATAAAAATAAATAAATAACGAAAGTATCACAAAGCATGATATTCTAATATATTTCTGCTGTCTCCTGTTTATTAAAGCCTGCAATGCTTGAGCTACACTTCCCAGTGGTATCTAGGAGTAAATGAGCCCAGGAATATTTACACACGGTTCCCTTAATTCAGCACTGTTAATATGTTACACAATTATAGCATCTCCATTCAGAGTTGGAAAAAGGTGAGTTTATTAAGACACAGTGAGGAACATTTAACATGCACAGACATAACCATGTACCAAATCAGACAATTCTATCACTAAAACAAACCAGCTTTTCTTTCTGGTATTTGCTGACTGCATTGCAGGACAGGTTTACAGCAGAAGTCAGTCAGGTCTTATGGCAAGATGGCGTAGAGCTAATAAGCCATTTTTTTTCTAGCAACTCTGTTTATCAATTCTGTTCCAAATTACATTTTCAGTTCTTAGAAGTCATTGAGTCGTCTACATACCCTGTAATAGTCTCCATTTGATACGTTGTGAAGTATGGATGAATGAAATTAGGGGTAGGCACCACGTGACACTGTCAAGACTTTGTCATTATTAGTGCCGGGAAGTTGTGCCCCTTTTGGGACATTAATCACAAGTGGTGTATTATTATTATTATTATTATTTATTATTAAGAGGAAGAGTAGGTTTACATGAACTATCCCTGCTGCCTGTATAGGTGGGAATAAATCGGGCCCAATGCGGCTTCTGGCTATTAGGAGGCTTTGGAAAACCCTCTCTTTCCATTTTGAATTATGTTTTATATCAGGAGTCATTTTATCAGTATATATTCTATTCCTTATCAGTAATGTAGGGCCTTCACTTCTGCAGCCAAGTATTGTAATAAATTTGAATCTAAGATGAAGCTCCAAAGTACTCAAAATAGTTTATGTGGACTTGCTGAAGCCATTTAATAAATAGCCCTGTATGTGTAATAAACACGCACTGTTCTTTGTCAGTGCATGTTATCCTGAGCTGTGTAGATCCTGGCTATAACAGAACAGTCTCAGAGATGCCTCCTCAACCAACGATTGGACCATATCCTCCACCTTGAGTTTCAGATCCCTCGACCCCATGATTTCACAGCCCTGTATATATAGTCCAACATCTACACATCGATGGCTAGGCCTTCTCCCATCATCCTGGGAGTCTGTTATGGTGGCATTTTCAGTGCTGAATTCCGAGTCACACTCCTCATAACCCGTAATGTTTGTAGGTAATATTACCTGTTCTTCTGGTCCACGAAAGTCAATGTTTTCATTTTCAAATCTAACAATGTTCCTAGTGGCAGATTCAACTTCTGAAAACCAATCCCACACAGCATCACAGCTTGACAGTTCTTGGTCACAAAGAATATTCATCGGCTGTTCTCCATCTCTTGGACTCTCTGCTGCCCACAGTCCACCTTCTGGCTCCAGGTGAAACAAGTACTTCATACAGTCAGGCTTGTGTTCCGTTGGCTCATTGTCCAGAGCCTTTGTTATCAATACGTCCTCCTCCAGGTGTTTCCTGTGACAGTTCAAGTCCTTCTTATCTCCATTATATGGTCTCTCGGAGTTGGACTTCATTTCTGTTGAATGTTTAAAATTTGTTGTGAACTCTCTTTTAGCTTCAGCTGGGACCTTCATTTCTGGCATGGATTCTGAGAAATATCTTTGTGATTTTATTTTATCCAGTTCAGCCTTTATCCTGTATCCCGACTCTTTCCTGACCGCTTCACCATCCCTCTCTTGTGTCTCTATCCCCGTATCTCTCTGCATGTCAATTAGTTTCTCTTGTTCTAGATTATCTAATCCTTTCTCTACTTGCACCTCGCACTGTCTATCATGTTCTAGATTATATAATTCTAACTCAGCTTGCACCTCCCACTGTCTTTCTTGTTCTAGACAATCTAATTGTTTCTCTACCTGCACCTCACACTGTCTCTCTTGCTCTAGATTATCTAATTCTTTCTCTACCTGCACCTCACACTGTCTCTCTTGCTCTAGATTATCTAATCCTTTCTCTACTTGCACCTCGCACTGTCTATCATGTTCTAGATTATATAATTCTAACTCAACTTGCACCTCACACTGTCTATCATGTTCTAGATTATCTAATCCTTTCTCTACCCGCACCTCACACTGTCTCTCTTGCTCTAGATTATCTAATTCTTTCTCTACCTGCACCACACACTGTCTATCATGTTCTAGATTATCTAATCCTTTCTCTACCCGCACCACACACTGTCTATCATGTTCTAGATTATCTAATCCTTTCTCTACCCGCACCTCACACTGTCTTTCTTGTTCTAGATTATCTAATTCTTTCTCTACCTGCACCTCACACTGTCTATCATGTTCTAGATTATCTAATTCTTTCTCTACCTGCACCTCACACTGTCTCTCTTGCTCTAGATTATCTAATCCTTTCTCTACCTGCACCACACACTGTCTATCATGTTCTAGATTATCTAATCCTTTCTCTACCCGCACCTCACACTGTCTCTCTTTCTCTAGATTATCTAATTCTTTCTCTACCTGCACCTCACACTGTCTATCATGTTCTAGATTATCTAATTCTTTCTCTACCTGCACCACACACTGTCTATCATGTTCTAGATTATCTAATCCTTTCTCTACCCGCACCTCACACTGTCTCTCTTTCTCTAGATTATCTAATCCTTTCTCTACCTGCACCTCACACTGTCTCTCTTGTTCTAGATTATCTAATTCTTTCTCTATCTGTTCCTCACATTGTCTCTCTTGTTCTAGATTATCTAATAAATTTATTTGTATTTTATCCTCATGTTCTAGATTGTATAATAGCTTCTCATCGTATTCCTTTATCTCTCCCTTTATCTTACTCTGTCGCTCTTGTTCTAGATTGCATAGACATATCTCTTTCTGCATTTCACCATGTGTCTTCTCTTCATCTATTGACTTCCCTACAACATCTTGTTTTACTTTTTTTAGAATGACTGTCTCCTTGCCCTCACATATATCCAGGATTACATGTCCCTCCATGGCCCCCGTTTCCCTTTTACTGTGTATTTCCAAGTGCAGAGCATCTTTTACCATTTCATGCTCCCCAGGTGGCCAACTCTCTTCGTGTTTTCCTAATTTTTTGTCCTCCGATCCTACAGATTCTCTTTGCAGGATATGGTCTTTGCCAGTCTGCCTCTCTGTTAAATAGAGATCTTCAATTCTCTCTTGGTCTCCCTCTCTCCCCACTATCTCATTTTTCCTCCTTTGTTTGTGACCACTATGTTTCTTCAGTAAAGATAACCTAGAATAAGATTTTGATTCTTTTTCCAAAGGGTTTTGGAGGTAATAGTCCCCTCCTCTCTTTTTCCTTCCTTTCTTTTCCTTTGAATAATCATTTACCTCTCTGTCTTCTAAGGATCTAAGACATGGTAGCCTAAAAATGGTCCAGATCCTGCGCTTCATTACCCCCACTCCTGGAAATTTGCTACTACCCACTGGTGTGTTGGCCATGCATGGTGTTACTTCTTCTACATCTTCTGATTGGTTTCCCACCTGGTCTCTCCTTCTGAATCGGCAGAAAACACCCTTGAAAGAAGATAGCTTAGATGGTTGAGGAGATTTATGTTCCCCCGAGATGTGACTTGTGTTTTGAATGTCTTTTGAAATAACCCCAGGACTTTGTGTCTCGCCGGCCTGTGATGACTCCATATTAAAATTGTTGGGATGTAGTAGTCATCCAGGCACTGGTTTGATGGTGCTAATTTTGTTATGTTTCTTTCGAGGAAATGGAAATCTGTGAGCCCTGTGGAACTTCACGAATTCCTGCTTCCTATTTATTTATTTCCCCCATGAATTGCTTTCTTATTATTATATAATGGGGTCTTGCTTGTCAAAGGACAGTTGTCAGAAGCCTCTGTTTTCGGTTATAGATAATGTGTCCTTGTGCAGATAATGATTCCCTCTTTTGGAATTCATATGTTGGGGGTCCTTGATACCTTATGAAGATTTGCAGAGCCTAGATTCTTAATAAAGATATGAGATTTCCTGGTGCAAACTTGAAGGGGTCCCTTTTTCCTCATTCAGAATCTGGGGGGTCAATGTTTCCTGGTGCAGACATTGTTGGGGAGGGGGGGACTTGCTGTTTCTTGGTTCCGATATTAGGATCTCGTTAGTTTCTGGTCACATGCTTGCTGTTCACTTTGTACCTAGTGTCTCCCTCTGTCTGATTATCGAGCTGGCACAGATCATCTCCGCTACATGATGCAGACTGATCGTCTGCACAAATACACACATCACACAGCACTCTGTTTCCATAGCAACTCATCCTTGAAAACAATTGTGGAAGGAAACAAATACAGAGTGATATACAATGCAGACATCCATATAAATAATAGACACCTATACATCCTATACATTCATCCATAATATCTATATCGTTCACAGATAATTATTAAACTGTCAGGATACTGGCTTCAAGGGAGTGCAGTGTATAAATATCTATACAAACATGACACCTATACATACATACACTGAACAGTCACAACATTAAAACCATCTGCTGAATATCACGTAGGTTTCCCTACACAAAATAAAATTTAAAAAAAAACTCTCTCCACATCCAGTGGTATCCAGTGATATCCAGAAGGACTAGGATCCAATATTCACAGGTGAAGGACAGGAAACTTATAAAAGCAAAATACAAAACACATAAAAACGAAAATAAAATCTGAATAAAGCAAAATGGTTTAATTTAATGGCAATCTGTAGAAACTCTGATTTACTATTATTTATAAGGTGCTAACAATTTGTAGCGCTGTACAATAGGCTAACAAACAAAAAGTTGCAACAAGGCAAGTTGGATGTATGGGAACAGAAGGTGCTTAAGACCCTACTCAAACTAATTTACATTCTAAAGCAAAGCTTCCATGTTTGTGCCTGTTCATCATTAATTCCTTGTTAAACTCTTGCCTGTCTCTAGACCTTCGTCTGTCTCCCGACCGACCGTTGCCTACTTCCTGACCTTCACCTGTCTCCCGAACCTTTGTATGTGTCCTGACCTTCGCCTGTCTCCCGACCTTGGTATGTGTCCTGACCTTCGCCTGCCTTCTGACCTTGCACTATTCCTACACTTTGCCTGTTCTTTTCCAGAACCTGACCTACTATTACAGCCTCTATATCAATACTTCATCAGACTTGCTGACTGACCATTTTTAATTTTATTTTCAGACAGACACTTGGCCAGACACCGCCTGTCCATGGGAAGGGGCTGTTGGTGATGTGTCCGGTATTAAGGACTCTTTGTTTGCGAAGATACAGTATGAAGGGTGGGGAGAGGGGAGAGGAGGGTTAATATTCCTGCTCTACAGCTACAGTACACTCATACAAACTAACCTCTTTTCTTCCTAATCTCAAGGTGTGTCTGGGGCAGGTAATGGCAGCTCTGTATGAAGAGCCCCAGGCTAGTTCTGTTTTGTGTGCCAATCATGGGGTGTGTTCAGATTGAGAGCTATATACAAAGAGGCTGCTGGGGAGGGGCAGCGCCAGTTGGGAATCGAGGGGTGGGGGGGTGGGGAGAGAGGGGAGTTGGATGGTATGAGTGCAGATGAAGCTCTGTTTGTGATTTTGATCCGATTATCATTTTATGGACCTGGGGGAGAGATATCATACTGCTCTTGCAAGTTGTAAAGTACCATCACAAAGCAAATGCTATTCTAGTCTTCTCCTAATCTACTTCTTAACCAAATTAATTTCCTAATGTATGTGTAATGCCACTGCATTATGCCCCAGGCAAGGATGTGGCCACATCTATCATATGGGCTAACATTGTACGTGGTGGAGTTAATGGGTGTAAGCCCCTGGATTGTGCAACAAATATTTCATGGGGTGTCGAAATACGTTTTCACATTCTGTCCAAAAATAATATTTTACCAAAAAGTTCAACTGCTAGTGCTATAAAAAAAAAAAAAACATTTACTGGGTTATTCAAAATAGCTGAAATGGAAAACTCTCATAATCAGCCCCTGCAGTCCCACTGCTCAATTCTGTGCCATTTAGGAGTCAAATCAGTTTGTTTATGCAGCCCCAGTCACACCTCCCTGCATGTGACTTACACAGCCTTCCTAAACACTTCCTCTAAAGAGTCATCTAATGTTTACATTTTCTTTATTACAAATTCTGTTCAATTTAGAATTTCCGATTTCCTGCTTGGGTAATATCTTGCTAGACCCTGCAGGATAGTCCTGTATGTGACTATCTTGCGACCCATTTTTGTATGTGATTAAAATTCAATTTACAGAGCAGGAGATAAAAACTTCTAAAGTAATTTACATCTGATTGATAATGATATTTTATTTTCATGCAGGCTCTGTGAGTCATAGCCAGGGGAGGTGTGGCTAGGGCTGCATAAACAGAAACAAAAGTTATTTAACAAATAAATGGCAGAGAATTTAGCAGTGAATTCATTGTGATCTATAAACCAAAACTGCTTCATTAAGCTAAAGTTTTGATGACTACAGTGTTCCTTTAAATGTCAAATTCACTTCAGATTTTCACTTTAATAAATAAATCTCGGTTATTCCCTATTTAAACAAAAAAGTTAGACTCCAGGGAACAAAGTCTGGACGGCAGAATAGGTTCCATAAATTGGGATTTTATTAATGACACGGAGGATCCTATTATGCTGCACTCTTTCTTTATTTTCCCTCAGCAGCAAATAATTTTTTTTTAAACATAACCAGTAGTAACAATAAACAGTCTGAGATGAGTATCCTAGTAACAGGAACAGCCAATCGGATTCCACTCTCCAGCAGAATAGGCTCTGTCAATCAATCCAATTCCTCTTTCTTTGCTGCTCCCTCAGTTAAGTAACATCAGATCCCATGGTTTCTTAACTGTGGGATTGCTTTTTACACATTATATTGCTGTGCTATTTAATTTAACAAATAACTATTTTTGGTTTTTAGACACTTTTTACATTCAAAGACAAGGCACAGCTATGGGTACTAGGTTTGCACCAAGTTATGCTAATCTTTTTATGGACAATTGGGAGTCTAAAGCAATCTGGGGAGATCACCCCTGGAAAGCAAACCTAGTATCCTATTTTAGATACATAGACAACTTGTTTTTTGTATCTGGAAAGGTCCTGAAACCTCACTTAAACCTTTTTTAAACCATCTAAACAACAACAACAGTGGCATCATTTTAACATCAGAACACAGCAAAGATTTAATAAATTTTTTAGACATCCAAATTTTTATCCAGGATGGGAATATTAACACTAGAACTTTTTTTTAAAAAGTGTGCACCAACACAGTCATTGACAGATCAAGCTGCCACTACCAACCATGGTTAGATGGGGTCCCTAAAGGTCAGTTCCTACGTCTTCGCAGGAACTGTTCCCTTAATACAGATTTCGACGAACAAGCTAGAACACTAGAAGCTCAATTTATCAGTAAAAATTACCCAAAAGAAAAGCTAGAAGAATCCCTCAAAGCAGTGAAACAAAAAGAAAGACTCGAGCTCTTAGAATATAATACGAATAAAAATAAAGACCCACCATCCATGCCGATCATCTTTAACTTTGACAATAAGAATAAAATTGTGAAAAAAACTATTCAAAAACACTGGCACATTTTAAAACAAGACGAAATTTTAAAGACACTCATCCCAGATAAACCCCATATCATTTTTAGAGGGGCCCCAAACCTAAAGACAATGCTTACTAAAAATTATACAAAAAAGCCAATACAAGCAATCCATCATTTTTATCAAATTCTAAAGGTTTTTTCAAATGCAACAGATGCATTGTCTGCAGATCCACTGACCAAAACAGCACATCAAAAACAACACAATTCACCTCAAACAAAACAGGTATTACATACCCTATCAAAGATTTAATATGTTGCACTACTAAGAATGTTGTATACCTATTGGAGTGCCCATGTGGCCTCCAGTATGTGGGTATGACCACACGATGCTTAAAAATAAGCTTAGCAGAACATTGTAGAAATATTATCAAAGGCTACCCTAATCACTCTGTTTCAAAGCATATTATTCAACACAACAAAGACCCTAAATTTTTAAAATGTACTGGGATCCAAAGATGTAAATTACCCTGGAGGGGAGGTGACCTCAAAAAATTACTGGGACAAAAAGAAATGCACTCGGTCTTCCTTTTAAAAACCCTTACCCCCGAAGGTCTTAATGTAGAGTTCGACCTGTTTAATTTTTTATAACTTTTTATAATTAATTTTTTATAATATATTTCTTATATTTTATTATCTCCTATAATTATTTTGTGCATGAAGTACATATTTATACAATGTGACTTATATACGTGACTGTTCTATTTAAATAATATGCAAGGTATTGTGAGTATAAAACCTTGTTTTTAATTTAAATTTTAGACTATCACATGTTTCCAATATAGGTATGTATTCACTGATACATATAAAGTTTAGCACTTTTGAAAAAAAAAATGGCCACCGATCATGTGACTGTTGTATCTAAATATAATATGTAAGGTATTTTGAGTATAAAACCTTGTTTTTAATTTTAAACTATCACATGTTTCACATATAGGTATGTACTCACTTACACATATAAAATTTAGCACTTTTGAAAAAACAAACAAAAAAAAACAAAAACAATTATGACATCATTTTGGCGCCATTTTCTAATATGTTCACTGCCTTTATAAACCTGTATGTAACAGGATGTACTTTCTGATCTCCCCTTGATAAAGCCTAAGGGCGAAACGCGTTGTGGTTTTTTAAAACTATATTGTTTTAAATAAAGGTATTTTGGCCACTTTCTTACTGTGAGTTAGCCATCTTACTTTTTATTACTATTATTATTTTACTTTTTTACTACTACCATCCTTTTATCCGGCACCAGAAGTGTTTTTACTTTCCAGTGAGGATATTACTCCCAAGAATCCTAGGCGGGGATTATACCACTCAAGCTGTATTCATTGAACAGTTATTCTGTTCAACTAAATGTGAGTAACCACTTGGTTTTTTATCTTCTCACCTCTGGCATTTTATACTTTGAGCACCATTGTTGTTCCCGCTTTTATTTCCACATATGGTTCCCTAATCAAGAAAGAATACTAAGACCTCATGTATCCCATAAGTGGGGATTATACCACTATACGTTATCAACACTAGAGCTAAGTCCATAGCTCTTGAAAACGTGAGTAGGACCATATACTCTTTTATTGCTTCTACCCCCTTCGGGACATACTATACCATCAGTTGTTATTTTCTCATTTCATATGATGTACAAAGACGCATCTACACCACTCTGAAGAATCCCCCACCACAAAAGACTGTATTCACCTCTACAAAGATATACCTCGTTGTTTGATTCATCTACCAGTCAGACTATTTATTCTGGACTTCTATTTGCTTATTATCTATCATATATATGGCATTCTAGTCTGCCTATTCTGTGCTCTTTTAATTTATGTGGTTTATAGTGGTGCTGCCTTCCTTTCTTTTTTCTTGGACATCTTGGGCCCAGCAACCAAGATATTTGAAGTGGTCCAAGATGACCAGGAGCTAGATCGGGCAGCTATAAATGGATGGATCCAACAGATTATTTGCTTGATTGGCAATGCCAACACGGCGATAGCCACAGAGCGCCGCAAGGCAATACTATTAAAAATAGAACCGAAGCTGGTAAATATGGCCCTGAATGAGCCGGGCGCCCAAGCTAAAGGTCTCCTATTCGGAGACAATTTTTCAAGGAATTGGGCTCCTTTGTACATACATTTACAGCCCTAGACAAGGCGCAGTTTAACATGCGCAAGGTGTTTCACCCCAAGGTTTTTGGTGGGGCCGGAAGAGCAAGGAGCCGTCTGTCCGGCCGTGTTAACAGAAGTTCTTTTAAACAGAACAGAGGCTCCTATACAGGACGAGCCAGTTTCACGGAACACCGCAACGCTCTGGCGTTCTTCCCGCAGCGTGGGCGACCTTGGGTTGCTCGTGGACCACGAAACGCCCACTCAGGACGACGAACTTATGGTAAGTCCTCTCAATTTTCATTCTTCCCTATGGGCAGTGGGGGGCAGACTCCGACATTTTTTCCACATGTGGTCCCACATCTCATCAGATGTTTGGGTGTTAAACACCGTAAAAGGGTATACCATAGATTTCCTGTCCCTACCCGTACACTACTCCCCACCGCGGGAAATGTCTTTTCCCCTAACAGACAAGGCCCTGGTCACCAAGGAAGTCTCAGATTTGCACCACAAACGAGCCATCTCAGAAATCCCTATGGCCACACCAGGCTATGTGAGCAACCTGTTCCTGGTTGCCAAGAAAGGCGGAGGGGTCCGCCCAGTGATCAATTTGAAACAACTCAACACTTACGTCTCCTACAACCATTTCAAGATGGAAGGAATACATTGCCTAAGAGATCTCCTCCAACCAGCAGACTGGATGGTGAAGCTAGATCTAAAAGACGCTTATCTTACAGTGCCGATCGCCCAACAACACCAAGATTTCCTGCAATTCATCTGGCAGGACAGGAAGTGGAGGTTCACTTGCCTCCCATTCGGACTGTCGTCGGCCCCGTGGTGCTTCACCAAACTCATGAAGCCCGTGACAGCCTTATTACGGAGTTGAGGAGTACGTCTCATAATTTATTTGGACGACATCCTCATCATGAGTCAGTCCGCCCAAATTGCCCGGACCCATCTGACCTGGACTCAGACCCTTTTACAGAACTTAGGCTTCCTCATCAATTGGGAAAAATCCATTTTGACTCCCACTCAACACATAGAGTTCTTGGGTCTCATCGTGGACTCTACGTCTCAGACCCTACATCTACCAATGACGAAACTGAACAATATAAAAAAGGAAATCAAACGCTCCCTGGCAGCTCCTCAGCTTTCCCGCAAACAGTTGGCGAGGGTGATTGTCCTCCTGGCGCCCTCCATACAAGCCATCTTTCCGGGCCCTCTCCACTACCGAGCGTTACAATGCCTAC